ACAGCGCTCAGCCCTGCCCTGCGCAGTACCGTGTGAGGAAGCAAACTTAGACATGCCCCTGCTGACCTGTGAACAGGTAGTTAGGTGACCCCTGGTTCATAAGAGGACCCCCAAGAAACTCATGTGAGAAAATCCACAAGGGCCTGAAATGGTCGTCTGAGCAAGCACAAGGCCCTGCTGGCTCATTTGGCTCAGGCCGGCCGTTCAAGCTCTCTGGAAATGAAGGAAGTGTTCCAAATAGCCCTTCCACAGAAACAAGGAACTGAGACGCTATGGGGAAAAAGGGTGCACCAGCCATTGGCTTGCAAGGTCAGAGGTTCAAATCCACCAGCTGTTCCACTGGAAAAAGATGAGGCTGTCTGTCCCCATAAAGAATTAGCATCTCAGAAACCTAGGGAGCCATTCTACTCTGTCCTAGAGGTTGCTGGGAATCAGAGTTAACTGAGTAGCAGTGGGTTTTGTTGGTTTGATTAGATGGAGAAAAAATAAAACAGGCAGAGGTTGACAGGATCCCAAAACATGGCTTCCATCAAGGGCACATGACTGCTTATTAATGGGAAACTAAGGATTGTGAGGAAGACGTAGTCTCGCCCTGTCTTCTCAGCCGTGGGACAATGTCAGGCACACACTCCGTAAGCGTGTTCAGAGATGAGGCTTCCTTTCTGCCTCAAGACATGTGTCTGAGTGGTTGACAACTCCTCTTCTCTCAGCGTTCCATTTGGGACCCAGTTTCTCTAGGAAGCTGTGCTTCCATCAAGGGCTGTCAAAAGGCAGGCTTCCGCCCCTCCACATCGACTCAAGGGGACAGGGCCACTTCAGGCAGCAGAAGCCAAGGCAAGGCGCCTGGCCCTCTCCTTGAGCTTTGTGTCCCAGCACCATCACAGCAGGGCGCCAACGCGATTTGGAGTCAGAGAGGGAAATGCAGATTTGGGACTCACAGAAATATAGACTCAAATATACGCTCGGTCATTCATGAGCGAGGTTGGTGCTCTAAGCAAACTAATCACCCTCGCAGAGCTTTGATCCCCCTGGCAAATTCGCCTATACCTCGCCATTTTCTTAGGGATACTATTCACAGTGGGGTGACACAGAAAACAGACAAGGACGCCAACTGAGGGGAAGCATCACTAAGAGAGGAACTGGCAGAACACTATCCTGGCCTTCACCCCCAAACCCAAAACCTCCGATAATGCGGTCAATTCCAACTCACAGGGATCCTACATAGGACAGGATAGGGCTGCCCAGTGAGTTTCCTAGACTGTCACCCTGTATGGGAGTGGAGAGCCTCTTTCTCCCGCCAGGCGGCTGGTGGCTTCAAAGTGCTGATGTGCGGTCCACAGCCCCCCATGCACCACTGTGCCACCGCGGCTCCTATCGTCTTTAAATATGACTGACGATATAAAGACCAATAGATTTGTTGTTGATATCTTTGGCTGCTTGCCTTCTTAGAAGTGAACACTGAACAATTTTTAAATATTTATGCATTTAATGAGAAACCATTGCATGTTAACAAACTCCATGACCCAGAGCTATATGAAACATTTATCGATCTTCCTGCTGTCTAGAGTTGTGGGGCACTCACCCTGGGGCTCCAACTCGGTCTTGGCTGAACCCTTCCTGGGAAGAGAGGCCAGCCCCACATCTGCCGTCTCAGCAGCTTTTGCTTGCCACCACTCTTGTAGGACAGATGGACACAACTTCAGAGATGCTGTGGGTGTAATTCCAGACGACCACAATAAAGCAGACGCCGCGTTAAAGCAAGGCACGCTGATCTCTGTTGACACGGCAGCCTCTGAAGTGGTGGGCAACAGCCCGGCAAAGGAGTCTAAAATATGCTGAGAATGACAAAAACGGGGCATGGACACACACTGAAGCATCTGCTACCTGGAAGATGGTGCCCACAGACTTCCTGACACAGACCTGCCACAAACCTTCCACTTGTAAAAAGGCAGCTTCAGTGAGGGGTGATCAAACCAAGCACTATACAACAAGGTATCCCTAAAAGAGGAGGCAAAGATTTACAGACCCCAAAAAGGGCACCAGGGAGGCCCCAGGGGAGACCTGCTGTACTGTGGTAGAGAATCAATGGCCAGTGTGGCCTGAGGGAGGACCACGGATAGCCAGGGAGGACGAAGCTTAAGTGCTGAGGTCTACAGGATGGCGAGGTCGAGAAGGGACCGCAGAGGCTGAGACAGTCACCTGTGTGAGGTGTCAAGCAGCAGGTCTGAGTGGCTGCAGCCAGAGATCAAAGAGCCAGGAGGAGGATGGCCAGCTCAGCTAGGACCCTGTGGGAGTCTGTGGACTCCCAGACGGTGGAGTGCTTCACTATGAACCAAAAGGCTGGTGCTTCAAATCCACCTGCAGGGAAGAAAGGCCTGGAAGCAGCTCTGACCCAAACAATCCTCTGGGTTGGGTTTCTAGGAGTTTGGAGTCAGCCGTGAGGAAGTAGCTCAGTTGTTCATGTGGCTGACAGGGTTGATAGGAGGGTGAGACTAACAGAGACAAGGCAGGCTGCCACCAAAGGGAGGTGGCGAAGGGTCTAGGGGGCGCCGCTGGAGACAGAAAGGGAAAGGCCCACTGGAAACACAGTTTTAAGGTGCAAGTTCCAAGACTGTGGGGAATGAGGGAGAGAGTTCGTCATGGGCCTGGGCTTGAATAGGCAGAGGTGGAAACCGGTTTGTGTCTTTCTCTAGCCTTGCTTCCAGCATTCCGCGGGGAATACATGGCACAGTGTTTGCAAGAGACCTATTAACAAACTAGACACTGCACACGCTAAGATGGACGGAGTGTGTGAGGCTATGCGGACATCACTATAGACATCCCTCGCCAAGACTCAACATGCCAAGCAGCTCTGCCCACCTGTCCTGACCTACCACTGTTCCTCCACAGGGCCTCAAAGGTTACATGGACCACCACCTTCGGAGTGATGTTTGGTTGCAGGAGGTCCCTCACTGACGCGGCCATTCACGCTTGGGAGTACAATAACCGCAGCAATCATCATTTCTGACTCACTGTGTCCTCTGGTTTACACAAATGCCTGTCATTCACTCTTGCTTCCTACATATTCTGGAGAAGACAGCACACTGGCCTGTAGCTGGGGCCACCAGCCAAAATGGTATTTTCTGGAAACCAGCGCACTTGCCCCGCCAGTCCAGCTTATTCTTTGGTCACAAGCTCTTACGGGAGCCTCTGTTTATCCATGCTCAAGAAATGCCTGGCAAGGAGTCACCAAAGTAGCCACTAGATCCAATTAAATGGATGCACCAACTTCTGAATCCCACACACGCCACCCTCCTGAAAGTAGCCACCAACCTCCATCCTAAGCACTTACACCCAAAACAAACCTGACTCAGTTACCCTCCAGGTCACAGCAGACCCGGCCCACAGGGCTTCTGATACTGCCCATCCTCAGAGGACAAGACAGCCACAGCTTCCTACCTCAGAGTGGCTAGTGCAGCGGTTCTCAACCTGTGGGTCGTGACCCCTTTGGGGGTTGAATGACCCTTTAACAGGGGTCACCTGATTCATAACAGTAGCAAAATGACAGTTATGAAGTAGCAACAAAAATAATGTGATGGTTGTGGGGGGGGGGGGGTCACCACCACATGAGGACCTGTATGAAAGGGTCACGGCATGAGGAAGGTTGAGAACCGCTGGGTTAGTGGGTTCAGGGGTTCAGAGAGCTGGGGTTAGCAGGCCTGCATGTCGCCCACTACATCACCAGGGTGCCCTAACATGCTTAGTGCCACCCTAAGGAGACCAAGCTTCAAGTGGAACTTCTGTAACATTTGGGTCTAAGTCCTAGGAAAACACTTTTTGTCAGGCTAACTAGAAAGCACAGTACTGCACAGAGGCCCGGGCCAGGGGATCCGACAGCACGGCTGGAAAACGCTCGAGGAAGCATCCCATATCTTTCCATGTCCTTTTCCACGACCTTCTGGAAGCCAACACAAGTGTGTCAACACAAGTGAAACGGCTGGGCTGTTTTATAACAGAAGACTTCTAACTAGGCCAGCGGGGTAGGAAGCTGGAAGCAAATGTACAATATGACTGAGAGAAAGGTGGCCAATGTGGGGTCGTATCACAGTTCTAAAATGCTACAAATGTCTCCAGCGCCATGCCTCTCTTCATCGAAAACAAACATGAGTTATGGATCTTAGGCCAGCATCAGCACCAATCAAATATTCGTCAAGGCCTGCTGGTGCTCCCCTCTGCCAACCTGCCGCTTAAAACGCCAAACCTCCATGAGCAGAGGCCCCCCAGCCTCCAGCGAGTCAAAGCTCCCACAGAGCAGCACACACAGCCCCCAGGGTGGCACAGGGGCTCAGGCACTGGGAACACCTTCTCCTTCAGGGGCCTTCACCCCAAGAGCGAGGTATGGAATACTGTCCCCCGTGTGGGGCTGGGAGGGGCAGAGCCAGTGGCTGCAGTAAGAGGGGTCTACAAAATAAAGGAAGGGGGTGGTCAGCCACATCTTGAGGGAAGCACTTGGTAGCTGGGCCCTGAGGTCGGTGGTCATCAGGATGGGTCATCATCAGGTCAGGGATGGGAATCGGGCAGTCAGGTCTGGGGTCAGGGTCAGAGGTTATTCCAGGTGGGTTGGGGTCTGAGGTGGGAGGCAGAAGGGGGCGGTCTGGGTCAGGGGCTGAAATCTGGGCTTGGAAACCATAAGGGTCGTAGTGGTCTGGGGTCTGAGGAGGGAGGCTGTCCGGTGGACCTCAGGTGCGGGCTGGCAGCCTTCAGGTTCATGGAATGAGATCTGAAGTCTGCAGTGGGGAGCCAGGGGGGCAGGTCTCGGTCCGGGTCTGGGGTCTGAGGGGCACACCACCGAGTGTGGGACGCAAGACTGTCAGGGTCTGGGGCCTGAGGACGGGCACCGTCGGGTCCGTAAGGGTCAGGGTCTGGGGTCTTGAGGCAGGGCACAGTGGGGTGTGGGGTCAGAGGCCACCAGGGTCTGGTGTGAGGGGTGTGAGGGGGAGGCCATCAGGTGGGTCTGTCAGGATCTGGGGTCTGAGGTGGGGCAACTGGGCGTCAGGTGGAGGTTGTCCGGGGCCGGGGTCTGTGGGGGACCCCACCGTGGTGTGGGGTCGGAGGCTGCCAGGGTTTGGGGTGTGAGGGGGCCCTCACCGCGCCGTGGGGTCAGAGGGTGTCAGGATTTAAG